CAGTAATTAGTAACCTACCAACTAAAAAAAAGTCCAGGACCAGAGGGATTCACAGCCGAATTCTACCAGAGGTAGGTACAAAGAAGAACTGCTACCATTCCTAAAATCACTTGATTATCTCAATCGATGCAGAAAAGGCCTTTGATAACCTTCAGCATCCCTTCATGCTAAAAACTCTCAATAAACTAGGTATTGATGGAATGTATCTCAAAGTAATAAGAGCTATTTTGTGACAAACCCACAACCAATATAATACTAATGGGCAAAAACTGGATGCATTCCCTTTGAAAACTGCTCAAGACAAGGATGCCCTCTCTCACCACTCCTAGTCAACATATTATTGGAAGTTCTGGCCAGGGCAATCAGGCAAGAGAAAGAAATAAAACGTATTCCAATACGAAGAGAGGAAGTCAAATTTTCTCTGTTTGCAGGGGACATGATTGTATATTTAGAAAACCCCATCATCTCAGCTTCACATCTCCTTAAGGTGATAAGCAACTTCTGCAAAGTCTCAGGATATAAAATCAATGTGCAAAAATCACAAGCATTCCTATACACCAATAATAGACAAACAGAGAGCCAAATCAGGAGTGATCTCCCACTCACAATTGCTACAAAGAGAATAAAATACCCAGGAATACAACTTACAATGGATGTGAAGTACCTCTTCAAGAAGAACTACAAACCGCTGCTCAAGGAAATAAGAGAAGACACAAAAATGAAAAAACTTTCCATGGTCATGGTTAGGAAGAATCAATGTTGTGAAAATGGCCATACTGCCCAAAGTTATTTATAGATTCAATGCTATCCCTATGAAGCTACCAATGACTTTCTTCACAGAACTAGAGAACACTACTTTAAATTCCATATGAAACCAAAAAAGATCCTGTAGAGCCAAGATAATCCTAAGCAAAGAGAACAAAGCTGAAGACATTGCTCTACCTGACTTCAAACTATACTACAAGGCTACGGTAACTAAAACAGAATGATACTGGTATCAAAACAGATATATAGACCAATGGAACAGAACAGAGGCCTCAGAAATAATGCTACACATCTACAATGCTCTGATCTTTGACAAACCTCACAAAAACAAGCAATGGGGAAAGAATTCCCTATTTAATAAATAGTATTTGGAAAACTTACTAGCCATATGCAGAAAACTGAAACTGGACCCCTTCCTTACACCTTACACAAAAATTAACTCAAGATGAATTAAAGACAAGACCTAAAACTGTAAAAACTCTAGAAGAAAACCTAGGCAATACCATTCAGGACATAAACATGGACAAAGACTTCATGACCAAAACACTAAAAGCAATTGCAACAATAGTCAAGATTGACAAATGGGATCTAATCAAACTAAAGAGCTTCTGCACAGCAAAAGAAACTATCATCAGATTGAATAGGCAACCTACAGAATGGGAGAAAAATATTACAGTCTATCTATTTGACAAAGGGCTAATATCCAGAATCTACAAGGAACTTAAACAAATATACAAGAAAAAAACACCATCAAAGAGTGGCCAAAGGATATGAACAGACACTTCTCAAAAGAAGACATTTGCGCTGCCAAGAAACATTTTCGAGAAAGCTCATTATCACTGGTTATTAGAGAAATGCAAGTCAAAATCACAATGAGATACCATCTCACACCAGTTAGAATGGTGATCATTAAAAAGTCAGGAAAGTACAGATGCTGGAGAGAATGTGGAGAAATAGGAACACTTTTACAGTTTATGGGAGTGTAAATTAGTTCAACCATTGTGGAAAACAGTCGGGCAATTCCTCAGGTTCTAGAACCACAAATAGCATTTGACCTAGCAATCCCATTACTGGGTAAATACCCAAAGGATTATAAATCATTCTACTATAAAAACATGCACACATATATTTATTGCAGCACTTTTCACAATAGCAAAGACTTGGAACCAACCCAAATGTCCATCAAAGATAGACTGGATAAAGAAAATGTGGCACCTATACACCATGGAATACTATGCAGCCATAAAAATGTATGAGTTCATGTCCTTTGCAGGGACATGGATGAAGCTGGAAACCATCATTCTCAGCAAACTGACACAGGAACAGAAAACCGAACACTGCATGTTCTCACCCAGAAGTGGAAGATAAAACAATGAGAACACATGGACACAGGGAGGGGAACATCACACACAGGGGCATGTAGGGAGGTGGGTGGCTAGGGGAGAGATAGCATTAGGAGAAATATCTAACCTAGATGATGGGTTGATGGATGCAGCAAACAACCATGATCCGTATATACCTATGTAACAAATCTGCACGTTCTGCACATATATCCCATGACTTAAAGTATAATTTAAAAAAAAAAGAAAAATAAAGTTAATGTAAAGATAAAATGTCTAAGCTTAGGCTTATGTTTAATGATATCTACTGAAATGAATAAAGAAGATGCTACCTAAGCCTTGACTGATTGTCAAATGCATTGCATTTGAGATCCTTACACAAAAAAACAGTTTTGGAGGCTGATGGTAGGTTTCTCCTGGAGCCTCTTTCCTGGGTTTGCAGATGCCCGCCTTTTCACTGTGTCCTCACATGGTTTCTGCTGTCTCAGTGTACATGCCTGTGTCCTAGGCTCTTCTTAGGAAGACACCAGTCAGATTAGGACCCACACTTGAAATCTCCTTTTACCTTAGTTACCTCTTTAAAGGCCCTATTTCTAAATACAGCCGCATTCTAAGGTACTCGGGGTTAGGCTTTAATACATGAATTTTAATGGGGCCGCAATCTAACCTATCACAAGTACTGTACTGTTGCCTACTCTGCAGGCCTCTCTAGTCTGCTTTCATCTGGAACTATTGGTGCTGTCTGTCATGACCGGGGTGTTTTTAAAGTGTGGACACCTGTTGTTTTGCAGAATTTTTCTTAATTTGGAGCTGTCTGGTGTTTCCTCATGGTTATATTAAGGTCATAGTTGCAGCATGAGTTCAAGTGTGGATGTGTCCTCGGTGTGTCCTGTTAGCAGGCATGTGCTTCATCATGGGGCCTGTCAGCCTTCTGCACTTGGAAGGTCATGTCTGCAGGTTTCTCCATGGAAACTTTTCCAGCCACTTTCTCACTGACTTCTTTAGAAGAGAGTTTATACATAAACTTCTACGTCCATTCAATCTCTCTGTCTCTTTCTCTCTCAGATACCTGTTGATCCCTCCAGTCTAATACCACAGAATGCCTTTTAGCCATCTCATTTTCATCTTTGGGACTTTTTTTTTTTTTGTGACAGTGAGAAATTTGGCACTCACTATTCAGCATCAATCTTATTCCAACTTGTCCCTCTTCTTTTTAAGGAAGCTGTAAGAATTGCTTCCATTAATAAAGTTTTATTATCACAGTTTCTCTCAATTCTACCTGAGCTAATATGCCAAAAAGTACTGATAATTCTGACACCAGTAAATATTTTATGAGCTACCAGTTGAGAATTTACTGAAGTTCACTTTTTTTTTTTTTTTTTTTTTTTTTTTTTTTTTTTTTTTTTGAGACGGAGTTTCGCTCTTGTTACCCAGGCTGGAGTGCAATGGCATGATCTCGGCTCACCGCAGCCTCCGCCTCCTGGGCTCAGGCAATTCTCCTGCTTCAGCCTCCTGAGTAGCTGGGATTACAGGCACGCGCCACCATGCCCAGCTAATTCTTTTTGTATTTTTAGTAGAGACGGGGTTTCACCATGTTGACCAGGATGGTCTCGATCTTTTGACCTTGTGATCCACCCGCCTCGGCCTCCCAAAGTGCTGGGATTACAGGCTTGAGCCACCGCGCCCGGCTGAAGTTCACTTTTAATATTTCAGGAAAGTTTCAGAAACCTTGATTAGCCCTCATTAATCTTTATTAATACCAGTATTTTATATTGCCCCTTTGTATTGCAGCAGTTTGATAACAGGACTGTTTCAAAGTGGGATGTGGGGAAAATGCCATTTTTAGCAAGAATATGGGTGAAAGTTAAGAATATGGAAATTGATCATCTGAAAATCTCTTCATTTGTCCCTGTATCTTTTGAAATATTGCTGTGTACTTCCAAGAATACATAAATTAAGAACTAAACTAGCAGATTCTGATGCTTTTCTAAGTCACTAATTGTGGTATCATAATATCTGTATTCAATCACAATTAAACCACACAGAAGAAAAAAAAACACCTCTGAAAAGTTGTGAATAAGTTAATAAGCATTCCATTTTTACATTGATTAGTTAATTATTTAGGGTAAAATAACTGGTGTTAGTTTATACTGGAAATGATTGTAACTTTTCTCAACACTTCAGACCCCATCACAACAATGCTGTTCTCCAGCAGTGACAGGTAGTATATGCAGCAGCAGTCCTGTTGAGGTGAATAGTCACCTCACTGGACCAAAACTGGATGCCTTTTTTCTTCTTCTTCTTCTCGAGACGGAGTTTCGCTCTTTATCACCCAGGCTGGTCTAATGGTGCCATCTCAGCTCACTGCAACCTCTGCCTCCCAGGTTCAAGCAATTCCCTTGCCTCTGCCTCCCAAGTAACTGGGATTACAGGCATGCACTCCCTAACTTTTGTATTTTTAATAGAGACGGGGTTTCACCACGTTGGCCACCTGTTCTCAAACTCCTGACCTCAGGTGATCCGCCCACTTGGGCCTCCCAAAGTGCTGGGATTACAGTCATGAGCTACCTCACCTACCCACAGCTGGTTACCTTTAAGATATACGTTGAAAATATATGCAGTACAGCTGTAAGCCCTCTGTGGCATTTGTTACCCTTTTTTAACTGTAGTATATCTTTCTCCTTACTAACGCTTATAAAAATATATTATTTTTGAAGGTTTTTCCAACTTGAAAAGAATAGGAGATTTGAGTCCACAGCTTCACCGTGACTCCCTCCCTCAGAGCGTTGAGAGCCGGGCCGGGCGGGCGGGTGCGCGCGCGAGACGCGTCAGTCTCCAGGGGTCCGGCCTGGCTGTGTCGGGAGCCGGACCCGCAGGCCGAGGCCGGGAGCCGCGATGGCCGAGGGCAGCCCCGTGTCCCACCCTCACCACGCCGCGCATCCTTCGCTGCTGCGAGCGCTCGGCTCTCTCCGCGAGGAGTCCCGCTTCTGCGATGCGCACCTGGTCCTCGACGGGGAGGAGATCCCGGTGCAGAAGAACATCCTGGCGGCGGCCAGCCCCTACATCAGGCCAAAGTTAAACTATAATCCTCCAAAAGATGATGGATCAACTTATTGAACTGGAAGGGATATCGGTAATGGTTATGAGAGAGATCCTGGATTGCATCTTCAGTGACCAGATGAGACTAAATGAAGAAACAATCCAAGACGTTGTTCAGGCAACAGGCCTGCTACTCCTGACAGGCCTTAAAACCCTGTGCTGTGAGTTCTCGGAAGGCTGCATTGCTGCCGAGAACTGCGTCGGTATCTGTGACTTCGCACTGCATTACTGCCTGCATCATGTCCATTACCTTGCCACAGAATACCTGGAGACTCATTTCCGAGACGTCAGCAGCACGGAAGAATTCTTAGAACTGAGTCCTCAAAAGCTTAAAGAAGTGATTTCTCCTGAGAAGTTAAATGTTGGCAATGAAAGACATGTCTTTGAAGCAGTAATTCCATGGATAGCACATGATACAGAAATAAGAAAGGTCCACTTGAAGGATGTTATGTCAGCTCTGTGGGTTCTAGGGTTGGACTGCAGTTATTTGCGGGAACAGATGCTAAATGAACCATTAGTACGAGAAATTGTCAAACAGTGTAGCAACGTACCGTTCAGCCAGCGGCAGCAAGGAGAGGCGATGCTGGCCAGCTTCAAACTCCGGAGCTACTCTGAGTGCATCGTGACTGTCGGTGGGAAAGAGAGGGTTTCACGGAAACCCACAGCAGCGACGCGGTGCCTATGCCCTCTCTATGACCCCAATAGGTAGCTTTGGAACGAACTGGCCCCTTTAAGCATGCCGAGAATTAACCATGGAGTTCTCTCAGCAGAAGGGTTTGTGTTTGTATTCGGAGGCCAAGATGAAAATAAGCAGACCCTGAGCTCAGGAGAAAAATATTATCCACATGTAAATACATTGCCACCCGTGAATGAGGCAAGATGTAACTTTGGAATTGTGGAGATAGATGGGATGCTGTACATTTTGGGAGGAGAGGATGGTGAAAGGGAGCTGATTTCCATGGAGCGTTACGGTATTTATTCTAAAACCTGGATAAAGCAACCTGATTTGACCATGGTCAGAAAGATTGGCTGCTATGCAGCTGTGAAAAAGAAAATCTACGCCATGAGTGGAGGCTCCTATGGAAAGCTTTTCGAGTCTGTGGAATGCTACGATCCCAGGACCCAGCAGTGGACTGCCATATGTCCACTGAAAGAGAGGAGGTTTGGAGCTGTGGCCTGTGGAGTTGCCATGGAGCTGTATGTGTTTGGGGGAGTCAGAAGTCCTGAGGACATCCAGGGTGGCGAGATGCTAACTTGCAAATCTGAGTTCTACCATCATGAGTTTAAAAGGTGGATCTATCTTAACGACAAGAATGTATGCATCCCCGCCAGTTCATCTTTTGTTTATGGAGCTGTACCTATAGAAGCCAGTATTTATGTTAGTGTAGATCTTGATACAGGTACCAACTGTGACTACATGCGTGAGTTTAAAAGAAGCACCGGGGCTGGGCGCGGTGGCTAACGCCTGTAATCCCAGCACTTTGGGAGGCAGAGGCAAGTGGCTCACGAGGTCAAGAGATCGAGACCATCCTGGTCAACATGGTGAAACCCCGTCTCTACTAAAAATACAAAAATTAGCTGGGCATGGTGGCACGTGCCTGTAATCCCAGCTACTCAGGAGGCTGAGGCAGGAGAATTGCCTGAACCCAGGAGGGGGAGGTTGCGGTGAGCCGAGATTACACCATTGCATTCCAGCCTGGGTAACAAGAGCGAAACTCCGTCTCAAAAAAAAAAAAAAAAGAAAGAAAGAAAAACACTGGAACCTGGCACCACACTAAACAACCACTTCTTCCATCCGACCTTCGCCGCACCGCGTGTGCAGCCTTGCACATTGCAAATTGCAAGCTTTTCCACCTGCAACTTCGGCAAGGCTTATTCCGTATTCGTGTTCATTCCCCTTGAGGAGGAAGCAGAGCTGAGAGCCTGATCCTTACCCAAGAGAACCATAACATAGCAGCTGTGAAAGGGAAAGCAGAGACAGCGCCTGAAACTCACTCTGTGTGCTGGGCTTTGGTATGGTGACTCTGGTGGTTTTATGAGGCTTAGAAACTTGAGCCTCTCTTGTTTGGGAGAACACAGAACTGTTGAAACACTACCTGGGAGGAGTCAGTTCCTCCAGTTAGATGTGTCTGTAGACACTGGATGCTAGTAAATATCACAAGTAAAAGGGAGTGGGAATTGGTATCATGTAAAATATCAAAGTTAAAATACTAAGGTGCATTTTTCCTGAAGGGAACTCGTGTCTGACTGCTGTGTTCAAATATGTAGCTTTGGTAAACAAACAGACAAAATCTGTATATGCAAATCAACATATTCAAACATGCCGAGACTGCTTTTCTACTGCACTTGGAAGGATATATAATGCCTAACCCTTCCCAACAAAGTAAGGTTTGTGCCTAAAATGTTAGATTGGACTGTATGCCAGTTAATCTCCATTTATTCCTAGTACTCTGTCCTAAGAGTCTTTTTAAAACGATATCATGATGAATTGCAACGAAGATAGAATTTCTCTTTTATAACTTTATCTTAGTAATGTAAAGATTCAGTAAATTGATGAGTCAGGTTGCGGCCCTCATGTGAACTGAAGGAAGTTGCTCACATCTGTGTTGACTGAGATTAAGACATGTCATGCCATCCTTTCTGGGGTAGTACCAGTGGAGCTGGGAAGGGTCTCCCGCAGTGCCATTCTGCCTTTTCAGTGATCAAAACCATTTTCTAAGTGTGAGGATATTAGTGAGTAGGAGATTTTATAAAAGAAAGACCTGAGTCAGACAAATAATAAAGGTCTGCTATGGCTGAAAACAAAACAAAACAAAACAAAAACAAAAAAGCTATCCAGACAAAATATGTAAGGATCAAAAACTTTTTAATATAACCTGTCTGCAAGCACACAAAGTCTTGTGTACAACTGTTTAGGGTTTGAAAACCGGTCTTAGAATGCGAATCTGCATTAAGAATCTAATCTTTGTTATAGAAGTTTTCCAGTGGCATTCACTAGCGAGAGTTTTAGACAAATTATGTTCCGAGTAAAGTTTGGCTGGTAGAATAAACCACCTCAACTTAATTTCATTCTGTTCCTAGTAGAGCAAATTAATCTTTTCCTCCTTCCCTCCTTTACTATCTCTCATTCCCACCTCAACTCACTTTACCCCACTTCTCATTGGGGGAAAAATATCTTTTGTTTGTGGAACATATCTTGTAAGATAATTTGTCTTCCACTTGACTTACACCACCCTCGTGTGAAATCAGGGACTTTGAAGGGCTTGGTTACTTCCTAAATTGAATTTTATGCAATATCAAATTTCTAATCAATTTAATATAGAGTACTTCAATTTTAATTGTTTTCTACAGCTTTTTTCCCCCCTTGGAATCTGGCTGTAAGAAGTAGCATTTTGTCTTATTAACACATGTATAAAGGTATCCTTTGGTTGTGAAATGATAACAGGAACTTCTTCTAGAAACTTTCTGTGTGGAACGTTTGTATGCAGTTAACATGCATATGAAACATCACTTATGCTCTCCCACCCATAGACATGAAAAAGGGTGACCTGTGATTTTTTTTTTTTCTAACACCTTCTGGAAGTCAGTACAGTGCTACAGAAGTTGCTGAAAGATGCTATGCCTGTGGGATTAAAGAGTGTTGAATGTGGCACATTAACTCTCCATTTTGGCCAGAAGATACCTGATAAGAGAATGTGTAAGGTTTTTATCTTATATACTAGAGGCAGCAGGTAATTAATGATGTTTAATATGTCAGTCAAAACAAGCTTAGAATTGCATTGTTTACCAGTCAGCTGTTGTCTGCACATTTTCCAGTGATACTGTGGAGATCTTTTAATGAAAGCAAACTATGTGGTCTCTGCAAAGAAAGGAAGACTTTTCTTTTCACAACTAGACATTAATTTTAGAAGAAGCAAATTGCTGGAAACCTACATTTGCTTTGGTGAAATATCCTGTACAGAACAGTACCTTGGCATTCAGCAGCTGCAGTTGGGGAACATTAAAACAGTAACTGACATACAATTACAGCCATGATTGTCAGCAATTCTCTTTTTTTTAATGTCTGACATTTAAATGTTTTTTTCTCCAGTCTATGCCAGGCCTCTCTAAGGAGACAGTTTATTATTTAGGAGTGAATGTGTTCCTCTTGCAATGTTATCAGTACCTGCATGACTTGATAAATTCATTTTATAAAAATAGTGTTTTGTTTGGTTTTATTCAGTTCATTGACACTGTAACTGCAGAAATTAGATAACATTTTATAAAATAAATTTGCCACATAATATGGGATGCAATAACACAAAAGCTGCTAAGGGCCAAACTGTTATTTTATTATAAACAAATATTAAAATATGTTAAAATATAGGGATGATTTAATTCTACTGTTCTCCAAAATTAATCATGACTCTTGTAAATTACAGTTATTTCAGTATTGTAAAATAAATTTTCCTTCCTTTCATGCAAAGTATCACAATAG